ACTTATCATCTCATCCTTGATATGTGTGTTTGGTGCCTGGTTTTACGGAGATGAGTAAATGTTTCTGCCTGTGGTTGTATGGAGATTTTATGCCTGAGTTGGCACCGCAGTACAGTTAAGGTGCGCAATGGAAATATCGACTAAATTTTGTATTTAAAAATGTATTCATAATCGGGATGGCGATTATTTTTAGTACATTATTTATATCGGATAATTGTAATTATGATTAATAACTACATATCGAGGACGATTATATTTTATATTTAGACTAGTCACGTGATGCGGCAGTCACGCGATTTTAGCACATTGACTTGAAGTATTGATGATACATATAAATGTCACCAGTGCAAGGGCATAACAAAGATAAATTTCCAAGTTAAGTATATAAATATTTTCAACGGGTATTGTAGTTTCTAAAAAGTGCTGCGATCCTGTCTTTATTCTGCAATTTCATTGTTAAAATTATACTTGTATGACCGAATGCTATATTTTTTGCTGGTCAGCGGCATGAAATATTGATATAAATAAATTGTTTTTAAGATTAAATCAGGATCGCAGCACTTTTCAGATACCTTAATAGTTCTATAGTTGAAATGTAAAAGCTTACTTTGATCCATAGAGTGTATGCCCTTGCACTAGATCGATTTATAAAGACCCCCCACATTACCCTCCGATGTACTTGCATACAAATATACGGCAGTATTAATTAAATACGTAATGTACAGGAAATATATTATTAAAATAGCGAAGAAGACATTAAATTCAAGTTATTGGCCCATAGAATATCTGTAAATAATATTTTATTTAATTAGAAAATACATATTTTGTTGAGAAAATATTACTTGATCTGTGTCTCACTGCATACAAACTACGTCACGTTGTAAGAAATGACGTCATATTGACAAGTGTATTGCGATCAGTGACTTGTTTATAACTTGTTATGTGGGATTTAACTAACGACAAAACAACACGCTGTAGTAAGTTTTTATGTAGTTTGATGATTTCTTACTGGTTAAATTAGCAGATAAACTCATTTTGTGGCATTTTAAAGAAATGTTTTATGACGTATATTGTGTATGATGTCATAGTCAAGTTTTCCCGTACAAATTAGGCTCCGCCTCCTTTTTGTAACCTTAACTGTGCTGCGACTGCAAGGTGCCCTTCATTGTTTGTGATATTAGTGTTGTTACTATGGACATTATTTATTACCTGAATTGTTGTAAATGCTTAATAAATTGACAATTACTGAGGAATTGAATTTATATCTGCTTTTGTTTGTTTAAAGTTTTATTGAAATACTGATTGGTGAGATAATAAGCCTTATTTATTTATTATCCCCATAAAAGTGTTCACACTCATTTGATAAGTAAAACTTGATTAATAAAAAAGTTGAATTATTTACTTAATATCAGCAAATAACATTCAGTATCTGTTTGGGCGGTGGATATCAGCATGGATAGCTCAGTCGGTAGAGCTCCTGACTATTGATGTAGGGGTTCCGGGTTTGATTCACGACCAGCTCAAGTCATAATCTCCTTTCCTGTTACACGATTTGGTGTCAATCACCCCCTGGACTTCCAGATTAAAGTCCTGCATGGGGCTAACCAGAACTTGGTTTGTGTCTTTAGAGGTCAAGACAGTTTGAGGAGGGAGGAATGTAATGGTTCGGGCAGGGGAATTTGTCCCGAGTTGATGTAGGGGTCCTGGGTTCAATTTCTGATCCAGCCATACATTTGTCAAGTACCTCCTTTACGGAATATGACATAATTAGAATAAATTCCCTTTAAACATGCTTTATGCCAAGTTTGGTTGAAACCCAACTGGTTCAGGCTTAGTCAATAGGACACAACTATTAAAAAAATGCACATGAATCAAACAAGCTCAATTTAGTCTTCCTTCTGGGAGAGAACTCTGTAACTTGGTGAATTTGGGGTAGGACTGAGGCAAGGACATTCAAAGAGACAGAAATGTGATGCTCAGGTTAGCCTATTCACAATGGCCAAGTAAAACATCTGGTAGAGCACTTAAGATATGGAACCCTGGTCATGTGTTTTAAATTCTCTTTTGACTTGTTAAATTACACATAAAATGTCCTCTTCCCATTAAAACATACTCTAACATTTGTTTTGAATAAGGAAACGGATAAAATTTGTGTTTATGATTTTTATTTTGCTAGCTAAAGACTCTGCTTCAACAAGTTTACATCTTTAAAAAAAATCACTCTTCATTTGCAAGTAGCTTGTTGATTAAATATGGCATTAAGTTATTAATAATAAATATAAAACAGTATAACAATCAGCATACAATCAACAAATATATTAAATACTCTGGAATATGTGTTAAAAATAACAACTAACTCACATAATAAGTAAGATCAAGTTTCTACCTAGAATATGGCTAAATTCTGTGTCTGTACATGAACAGATTTATTACTTTAGCACCACTACTATGGTTATTTTGCAGAAAGATGTTCAAGATATTAGAAAATCAGGAATTTTATTATAATGTTATTAATTACATGTATTGGATTCTTGAAAGAACAGTGAGGGAAAACAAAGGAAATATGAAAAGATTACCAGAACTCGAGAACAAAATGTGTACATATTACAATTTCTGCTACTAAACTAAACTCCTTCCTTTGTGAACAAGATATACATACAGTGGAGCCTCATTTATCTGGACACTTTGGTTCTTAGTCAATTTGGCCAGATATTTGAAGCATATGTTAAATGCGTGATGACCAAGGGAGATTGAACATAGTTCAACTCCCAAAAATTCTGTTCTGATGAAAAATTGTCCCGAAACTGAAGCATCCGGATATCTGGCGTCCAGATATCTGAAGGTCCACTGTATATGTATATGTACTGATGTAGTATCAACAATGCAATGCAGATTCTCTAAATTAGGTCAATATTGTTAATAACAATATTCTTAATTACTTAAAACAGTATTATGATACAGCAGGTTCACAAGTTTTGATTTTAAACTTCATTATTATTATTATATCCACTATAGCTTCAAAGATAAACAACAGTAAGTCATAGATGTTGCAAACTGTAAAACATGCTTCATTGTAATAAAAACTTGGGGGGGGGGGGGGGGGGGTTGGTGATGAACATACATAAAATAAAATATAAGGTGTATCATCTACTTAATTTTTATAATCAAATGAATTACATAATTTTACATTTGTGCAATTAATGTCAGGAAGTTTCATAAATTCATAATACATATATTTTGTGTCATTTCATTCCATATTTGCAAAAAAGTCAGCAAAAACATCAAATCATTCTTTTGAAACACAAAGACAAGTGTGTATAATAAACAAATATTTGACAATTGTGTGTGTGGTGGTGGTGCGTGGCAGTATTTTATGTCAGGATTTCAACGACAGAGTATTTATTGTGAGGAATAAGACTCATCACTGTCTGCCATATTTTGTCTATATATGAATCTTTAACTTTTAAGATTGACTCGTGTCATCTTAATATCGGTACCAATATTTCTTAATAATTTATACTTGAAAAGAATTTCAGTAAGTGTTTCACAAAAATATTTCAAAATAGAGAATCTGTACAAAAAAAGTAAAATTCAAACATTCTGAAATTTTTTGTACATGTAAATCTATTTTGTAGTTATCAAATATAGTATTCATGAAGATAGCATGACCAGAATATCACATCATTCACAAAACAGACATGTACACTTAGTGTAGGAATCGGATGCTCATCTTTTGTTCAACGTCCACTCGCTCCATTGCCTGTAAAGTTAAAGTGAATAAATTTACATTTCTATAAACTAAAAATATTACAGTATATATTGTAAACATGCATATATTTTGAAGAGTTTATACCTGTACAAACTCTTCAAAAGAGATCTGGTTGTCCCCGTCAATGTCGGCCTCACTGATTGTCCTCTCCGCGATACTCCCCAGCTATAAAACATAAAAAAAACAATTAACGTCAAAACATACCACTGTGTCGATAGAAAGGTACATATAAAATATAATTCCTATTCTTTACCTGCTCCTCGGAAATGTTAGCTCCCACCATCATATGTAACACAGACAGTAACTCATCCTTGGAAATTTTGTCATCACCATCCAGATCATACATTCGGAAAGCAACTGAAATGTATTAAAATATCATACAGAAGCAAATTATAATGATGAAAAACGTAAAATGTTTATAAATACATTGTATGCTTATTTCAAAATATATAGCTTCTGAAGAAGCAGCTGAAGATATGCAGCTCACTGCTATAAAAGATGTGGGTAGTGGAATAGCATCTGGATTCCATAACAATTTTTCAGATTAGCAACTACACTGTACTGTAACAGATCTAATTTTTCTTCGAAGGTCTCTCATAACTGTTTGATTAAGACTGCTTTGTTTATTTGCCTATATTAATTCGCACAAGAATACACTACTGTATGACCCTATCCGTAGTATTTTAAAATTGGTGTGTCAATATTCTTAAGCTGATCTTCTATCACCTTCAGATATCTTAATTTTAAAATGAAGTCAATTTATCAGCTGCAGACTAACCTTTTTATCCATACTATCAATCAGAAAGAAAATAAGCTGTGTACTTTAAATCTACCTGACTACCTGTTCCTCAATATTCAGTTCCTAAAGGTTCTATTCGTAAAATGTTTTTTGTTTGCTATAGCCTATACATACTATAAAGGATATCTTTTTTTAAACTACTGTCATCACACTACTTAGAATCAAACTCTTGTAATACACACATTTCAGTTTCTCCTCCCTGGTATTCAGTTTATTTTTGTTCTGGTTTGACTTAGTTGGCCTGAATCTCGCTAAAACTCTCATGAATTGTCTGAAGTTGACCGTCTCATTGTTACTGAAAACAAAAGTAAACATTGATTACACTATGATAATTTTAAGATCTTGGTTCTTACCAAAAAGTTCTATGAAATATACAAAGTTTACACTAACTGTTGTTTCTTTTCTCTCATTTTGCTACATTACTGTAAAATTACTGTAGAAGTACTTTTTTCTGCGTGGTATTAATTTACGCTATGTACGCGGTCACAAATTCTCCGCGGAAATTTGTCCAAGTGTACTTAAAATAAAGTTAAGGCATATAGAGATAGTCTAAGAAATCAGCGTAATTTTCTACCCGCGGATTAAAAAGAAATTGAGATTCCGCGGAATTATGACCCCGTGGAAAAAGTACGTCTTCAGTACTTAATTCTACACGGTCATAATTCCGCGAAAACAAAATTTCTATTCAATCCACAGGTATGAGATTACACGGATATCTTGGATTGTCATTATATTGGATACGTCCTTAATGAATCTTTATTATGCTGTGAGAAATTTCCACAGAAAAATTGTGTTAGTGTACATAATGGAAATTAATCCCACACAGAAAAAAATATGTCTACAGTATTTTACCTTTCTGTGAAGAATGCATGAACGATTCGGTCTCCGAGTGGATTTATAGCTAACTCGGGAATCCTCAGAAAATCTTCACGGCTGCACAAACATGAAAAAATGAAATAAACAATGAAGCATTAGTATTATAGCATAAAATAATGGTTTATTTTGATTTCATCCTACAACCTGAGTAGAGCTGATTACTTTTATTAAACTTTGATCAAAGATAAATTTACTCAATACTGCGAGTGTCAAAAATGTACAAAACAAAATTAACATATAAATAATTATCATCTTTGTCTTCAATTCTTTCACTAGTTATCGTTAAAGAGAAACATGAAAAGTAACATCAACATTCATTTGTAAATTCCCAAATTTTCAATAAGGAAACTAACAAACTTTCCACCTGTCAAAATGATTGCATTTAAGGCAGTTTTTCATTTTCTTGAAGGTTCTTCATCAATACATAACTTAAACACAAATCCAACTTCTTATCTAGAGTGTTGTTATTCAAACTTTACCTCAAGCATCCTATAGCTCCTTTATCCAGACTTGTAAATCGACTATACAGACGTACAATCTGATTGTGTGAAACTGCAAAAATAGAAAAGATAAGTATAGGCTGTGTACATATAAATAAATGAACTGAGAAAAATCTTCGTTACAAAACATTATAAAACAGCAGGGACCTATATGTTAGTATATAGGTCCCTGAAAATAGTAACTAGTTGATAAAAAAAAAAAGGTTTTGTATGAATTACGTGTATTTTTTTAGCCGACACATAATACTTACAGCCAGTTTCTGACTGAATTTCATTTAATTCAGTTTCCTGAAGCTGGATAGATGCCCTACTGCCCATTGTTTTGAATATTTACAAGAAAAACAGCTGTCAAAAGTATTCAACACTGGACATTCCAGGAAGAACCGGAAATAAGGCAGCGATGAATATCCAAATGTCGATCCCGATAATATTTTGTTTACAGGACAAACTTTTAATATATGTGAAATGATGCAACTTTCTATTCCTGTATTTTTTAAAATTTAAACTTAATTATGTTATTTTTCTCTTATTCCAAAGAATCAATGCTTGTTTTACGAAAACGCCGTAGGCTCGGGTTCGGGATACTGACATGCAGAGGACATTCGGGTGTGAGAAATGTGACATCGTCCCTAGGCCCTGGGGTGTTTGGGTATGTAACAATTTACCGGCGGTCGTACTTCCTTGTAAGATAAGTGACGTCATACAATGATTAGATGTCCACACCTTCTTGTTCATGCAGCCGAATAAAGTTTGTTTTTGAATCGCTAAATGAAATATTTATGTAAAACAAAAGTATCTATCTAGACTACAGTAAAGTGATTGTTCAGAGTGGTGCCTTTCATGCCTAATTGAATTAATGAGCAGTTCGTGTTTTATGATTCTTGAAAATGATTCCTAAGTACATATGTACTAATTTTGAAAATATCAATATAGTTCATGGGAAATACCTAGTTTACTTAAAACAGCTACAGTATATATATAGTAAAAAAAAAATTCTTACAGACAACAACAATTGATATAAAAAAATATATGACAAGTATAATTTGTATATATATCTACTCAGGTGTGGTATAAAGAAATAAAACATGTTTCTGAGGCATTCCTTCTGTCAACTGTGCAGACGAGATTTTGTTCATCCTCTCCCATCGTTCGAAAATTTGGGTAAAAGAACAATCTCTATAGATTTTCAAGGAAGACCTCAGTTTCGGGGAAAGACAGATAGTGAGAGAGCTAAGTGGCTTAAGGACAACATTCCAAGAGCACTCAGGAAAATAGACAGGTCAATCAAAGAAACGCTTTCCTGTAAAAATAAACTCGTAGTGCTTCATGGTGAATATGATTACTTCTGGAAATTTGACAGTGAGGATAAGTTGAATGACTGGATTGTGACAACAGACTCCGATAACAAGCAGGGGTTCAGTCGAGCATATCTGGCTCTCAGTAGAAATAAGAGGGCCCTGTTTTACGGAAACTTGAACACAGAAGTGCCAAAAGATGGAGAGCAAACCAGGGCAGGTTACTGTCAACTCAGAAGTCCTGTTTGTCAGGTATGGTATCACCATTGTAAGTCAGTACAGTATTCATAATATCACCATTGTAGGTCAGGTACAGGTGTAGTATTTATTCTTCCCAATTAATTAAACACACCTGTCAATACAGAGTCTGACAGTATTTATTACCTGTATGCCTTTGCATGCATTTTCTGAAAAGGGGTATACAATCATTGGAGGTTTTTTTAATTAATAAATTGACTTATTTTTTTCAGTGCATATGTATTTCCTATAAATGTACTTGTAGACAATGCGTATGAACTACGACTGGTCCGACTTTACCCACCTTGTGATACGTATGAGGGGAGATGGACGTGCGTATGGTCTGGGCTTACAGACGAATTATAAGAGGACGGGCGTGGTGGACTTTACGATGGGACTGACCGCTAATGACCAGTACCACTATCCCATGTTTACCCGAGGAGGTCCATACTGGCAAATTGTTAAGGTAGTACCTCCCGAATAGTTAAGGTAGTACCTCCCAATTACTGGATACCTTAATATTTTCACTTGAAATCACTAATTTGTCTTTTTTTAGCTCACCTGAGCCGAAGGCTCAAGTGAGCTTTTCTGATCAAAATATGTCCGTTGTCTGTCGTTGTTGTCGTCGTCGTCGTTGTCGTTGTAAACTTTTCACATTTTCATCTTCTTCTCAAGAACCACTTGGCCAATTTCAACCAAACTTGCTACAAAGTATCCTTGGGTAAAGGGAATTCAAGTTTGTTCAAATGAAGGGCCATGCCCTTTTCAAAGGGGAGATAATTATGAATTGGAGAAAAATTAATGGCATTTTAAAAAAATCTTCTTCTCAAGAACCACTGGGCCAGGAAAGATGAAACTCATATGGAATCATCCTCAGGTAGTGTAGATTCAAGTTTGTTCAAATCATGACCCCCGGGGCTAGGGTGGGGCCAAAATGGCCGACCAAAGTTTAACATAGGAATATATAGGAAAAATCTTTAAAAATCTTATTCTCAAGAACCACTGTGCCAGGAAAGATGACACTCATGTTGAATCATTCTCAGCTAGTGTAGATTCAAGTTTGTTCATATCATGACCCCCGGGGCTAGGGTGGGGCCAAAATGGCCGACCAAAGTTCTACATAGGAATATATAGGAAAAAATCTTTAAAAATCTTCTTCTCAAGAACCACTGGGCCAGGAAAGATGAAACCCGTGTGGAATTATCCTCAGGTAGTGTAGATTCAAGTTTGTTCAAATCATGACCCCTGGGGCTAGGGTGGGGCCAAAATGGCCGACCAAAGTGTTACATAGGAATATATAGGAAAAATCTTTTAAAATCTTCTTCTCAATAACCACTGGGTCAGGAAAGATGAAACCCATGTGGAATCATCTTCAGGTAGTGTAGATTCAAAATTGTTCAAATCATGACCCCTGGCGCTAGGGTGGGGCCAAAATGGCCGACCAAAATTTACCATAGGGATATATAGGGAAATCTTTTAAAATCTTCTTTTCAAGTACTTCAAAGCCATGATTAGTGATATTTTTAGCTCTACTGGTCAGAGACCAGAAGAGCTTATGCGATAGTAATGCGTCCGGCGTCCGTCCGTCTGTCCGTCTGTCTGTCCGTCTGTCTGTAAACAATTTTTCAAAATGCTACTTCTCCTACAGTTTTGGTCTGATTTCAATATAACTTGGCACACAAGTAGACTACACTAAGATACATAAATCTGTGTATCGGTTTTTGATTTCGATGAACGGTGTTGCCGTGGTTACTAAAAATAGAAATTTCTGTGAAATTCTTTCAAAATGCTACTCCTCCTACAGTTTTGGTCTGATTTCAATATAACTTGGCACACAAGTAGACTACACTAAGATACATAATTCTGTATATCGGTTTTTGATTTCGATGAACGGTGTTGCCGTGGTTACTAAAAATAGAAATTTCTGTGAAATTCTTTCAAAATGCTACTCCTCCTACAGTTTTGATCTGATTTCAGTATAAGTTGGCAAACAAGTAGAATACACTAAGTTACATAATTCTGTGTATCGGTTTTTGATTTTGATGAACGGTGTTGCCGTGGTTACTAAAAATAGAAATTTCTGTGAAATTCTTTCAAAATGCTACTCCTCCTACAGTTTTGGTCTGATTTCAGTATAACTTGGCACGCAAGTAGAATACACTAAGATACATAATTCTGTGTATCGGTTTTTGATTTCAATGAATGGTGTTGTCGTGTTACTAAAAATAGAAATATCTGTAAAATTGTTTCAAAATGCCACTCCTCCTACAGTTTTGGTCTGATTTCAATATAACTTGGCACACAAGTAGAATACTCTAAGATACATAATTCTGTATATTGAATTTTAATTTTGATGAACGGTGTTGCCGTGGTTACTAAAAATAGAAATGTCTGTAAAATTGTTTCAAAATGCTACTCCTCCTACAGTTTTGGTCTGATTTCAGTATAACTTGGCACACAAGTAGACTACACTAAGAACATAAAGAGACTTTATCAACGATCATTATTCTATTTAATGCTGTTTATAAAGTTTCAAATCCCAGCTGCTTAAGTACTTTCTCTTCCTTTGCTATAAGTTCAAACCAGTAGAGCTTCAGTCTCGACAGAGACTTCTGGTTCTATTTAAATGGAATCATCCTCAGGCAGTGTAGATTCTATTTTTTTTCAAATCATGACCCCTTGGAGGGTTAAAATTCAAGCCCCCCCCCCCCCCAGTAAACTTTCAGTTCTGATCTGATATGTGCTTTTTTTTCTAGCCAATGTGCTCAGGTGAGCGCTGTGGCCCCTGGGCCTCTTGTTTATGTTTATGACTAATTTACTACCCTCAACATCTTTTCAAGTTCATAGTAGCAAAATGTTTTTTAAATGATGGAAACAGCACTTAACACTGTTTAGGAGTATTTTTATTTTACATCATTTCTGTCTTTTTTCAATTTCAGATTCCATTCAGCAAGTTTTACTTAAGCCACAAGGGTACAGTACAAGATAAGCAATCCCCTATGGATCTGAATGAAGTGGGATTCTTCTGTATAAATCTGATGGACAATGTTGATGGCCCGTTCCACCTCGAGATTGATTACATTGCTCTCCTCCGAGACGAGAATCACGAGGAGAATCACGCGTATGAACTTTACCAAGTGGAGGACTACGTCACTAACGTCTACTGAAAAACAAAAATGTCGTTAATCGTTTCTGGTGTGTGTGATTACCACAAATTTTTCACTCCATTTTGTTTTTATGGTAGAACAGGTACATGTATTTATTGATGTGATATGCTGTGTAAGCCATGGCATTACTATATAATGGCCTGCATGACATTTGTTAAAGATGAATTGTATTTGAAAGAATTTTAATGAAAATCATGATATTGAAAAAGGGAATAAAATATTGATACTCATTTCCGCATTGATATTTAATATTTGCACTGATGAAGTACATATTGAGTCATTTGCGAGACATTCCAACTTGATGCCCGCAAGGATGTTTGCATATCAATATTTTTAATCAAAAATCATATTTTTATGATTTTCACTTGATATTTCTGTTACAATTTGACCTTTTTAATACTTTGACCTCCTACTGTGAGCACACTCTATCCTTAGAGGCCTTGATTTGATTTCAATTTATTGACCCCCATGA